AATAGTTCTTGTTGTTGCAAGCAGTGGGGTATTCCAATATCTCATGATCACACATTGATGCAGCTAGTTAATATACTGTTTAAGTATAAGCTGCTTGATTAAAACTAGTTTAAAAGGTTTTAATTCAATGGAATGTCAAGGCAAATTTTTGAAAAATTCCTTTAAAAAATGATTAGCATAATTTGGAAATATTATTCAATGAGACAGCGAGATAGTATCATTGATTTAAAAGTTGTATTCGATGTGTGGAGCTCTTATTTTAAATAACTTCTTGTATCTACCTTTTTCTGTATATCGTTCTTTTGTCTGTTCATTTATATTTTTTCCCTCTTGTTTTTGAAATTTAGCATTTTTCAGGGGAATTTTTTATAATACACATTTTTGCTTTTTAGAATTATTATTCAGGATTTCCTTACTCATACTTTGGTTGATTCTTTTTTTTTTGTAATGACATTTGTTCCTCTTAGAAAAATTAACTTGCTTTTGTTCGGAAAAAAAGTTTATTTTATAGTTTCATTTTTTAAGAATTTCCCCTTAGTCCATTCAATTTTTGTTATGTTTTCCACATCAGTTTTATTGTTGCATGTTAGTATATCATTGTTTTATTTCATTATTCAATATTTGTAAAAAATTTTAAATTTATAATGCATCAACTTAAAATAATTTTCATTTATGTTGTTTGACGTTGTTTAAGAAATCTTTAGGCATTAGTATTATTTACAGACTTTTTCATCCATGGTATAACTGATTCAAAATATCATTTTAATTTACAGTCAATGCTTCTGTTATTCCGTTTTGTTCATTTCAAATTGTCGATGTTTTTTCATCAGTTTATCACTTATGCCGTATAACAGTTTTTCTTGCTACGACGTTTAAGGCTGATTGAAGTCTGTATTAGTACCTTTTATTCTTACAAAAAATAAAAAAGGCTGCACGAGATTAGTGTGGCTTTCTTAAGTAATATTTTGAAGAAAGAATTTTATAACGTTAAAGCTTAATTTTATTATTTAATTTGAAAAGTTATCAGTCATTAGTCTTCATCATCACCGCGACTAAGGACCTTTTTGGGAATTACGGAATTTGTTCAGTATTTTTTGGCTGATTTAAATTAAGATTAGATTAACTAATTGAGTGATGTGAAAAAAAGGCTATTTAATTGTTGCGTAAGATTAATAATTGTTAGATCCATTCGATGTCTAGGCCACACTGGAATAATCGAAATGATCTGATGAAGCAGTATGCTCGATCGATATTTTGACTTAAATTTCAATTATACGATTCCACTTCTTATGAAGAACAACGTAGATAAATTATTAATACAATTATTATTAGGTTGTATGTTATCTTACATCTATTGCCAGCATAGGTTTGTTTCAAAATCTGGAGGGAAAACAGTGAGGAAGGAAAGTCTGTAAACTAGAGGCAGCTGATAATGGCGTAGAAATGGCCTACATATATAACTATCAGTGCAAATAAACTTTAATTACAAATGAAAAATGAATGCGCTTTGTTTCCATTCGTCAAATTTTTGGTCAATAATTCGATTTTGGTTTATAACAATCGTTAATCACCGTGAATTTTAATGTTAAACTTGGAATGGCGGAATTTGCATGGGAAATTGCATTCAGTTATATTATTCCAGTAATTATTCATGCAATCTTGCAAAAAGAGAACGAAAAAGCTGTTATTTCTTGTAAAAAATTTGTATTAAGAAGTGAACAATAATTATTTTAGAAGTAATTTATTATTTAAGAGATGTGGAAAATTACTGCATAATATGATGAGATGAAGGTCATAATATGTCGTCTATTTGTGCATCTTAAGGGATATGAGGTCAACTGCTATTACTCCATCCTAAGTGCTATGATATAGTGGAAATAAATTGTCACTGAACATAAAATTAAAAATGTGTCATTTTTCTAAGATGCATTCACCTAATTATTGATCGCTCCGACGGTTTTGACGAAAAATGAGTGGTAATTCATATTTTACAAACGATCGATAGTACAATGTGAATTATTAGTCTATTATTCATATTTAGACAAATTCGCTTCATTTAAAATTATTGAAACCATAAATGCACAAAAACACGTTTCCTTTTTTTGTGCTTAATGATTTTTATTTCATAAATTATTGAAAAGGACTTTATAAAAATAAAAGTTCTTTTAATATGCGGCGAAAAGCTGCGATAGCAAAACACATTCTCTCTATTACTTTTCACAAATTGAGTTCATAATTATAAATTTCGAGGAGCTTGAAAAATTTTAATCACATTTCTGTTTTCGATAATTTATTCGATTTTCGCATTTGCTGAAAGATTATTTTATAAGCTTTTAAACAAATTTCGTGAAAACAGTTTTTAAACCTCCATATCCATTATTCACTATTTGTTTACTTGGAATCAATTGATAATTTATTGTTCATTTTCTATTGTTATTATGCATATTAGTGATTTTCTCATATTTTTTAACAACCTTTTTTAATTAATAATAATGCTAAATGTATTACTCACTTTGATCATAGCGACTTTTGTTTTTTTATTGCGAAAGCAAAATAAATCGCGTAACATTATCATTATACCTTTTCTGAAAACGTTATATCGATTAAATGAAAGACGCAACAAAAAAGACATTGCTGTCTCTGTCATCAAATGTAGATTTAATTTTGACTTTAAAATATGCTTACTATTTATAGCTTTCACACTGTTGTAAACTCATTTAAACATGGCATGATTTCATTGATATCGGAATCGATAACTGATTACTTACACGTATGTATTATCTTATCCTTAGAAAGTGATTATAGATCGTTGATTTTATTTACATTTATTATAAAACGTAGAATTAATAATTAACTACCGGTAAAGCATGGTATGATTATTAGTTAATTGGTGACAAATGGAATGAAAGAATATTACTGGTGAATTTTGAAAGAAAAAAAATACCTGATCGTACTACTGAATATCAGTAATGTAAGTGAATCAACAGAAGCGGTGAAAGTAAAAAGCACTAAAATAAGCCACAGCGTCCAACGATTTTCGCTAATTCCAATTGTTATTACCACCTGCCCAATAAGAAATACTACGGCGTTACAGAAGCATGGCAAAATTAACCTAAATTCGATAACTTTATTATACTTTATTAATTTATTGGTTATTTTTAATTATTGAATCACCTGAAAGATCATTTAGATAATCTTTTAAGAATATATAAGACATTTTGGAAATATTTTAAAGGTATCGATTACTATTTGATTGTTGAATCAACTGAAAGTGACGACCAATCATTGATCTTTTTTAAAAAAAGACAATTTATGTATTTTTAAAACATTTTCCAAACGTTTTACATATTCTTAAAAAATTATTTCAATGACCCTTATATTTTAAAAGGTTACAAAAATGTTCTGCATATCTTGAAATGATAATCTAAATGTTTTGCAAGTTGATGTGAATGTACTTCATGTTTTTTAAATGTTTTTTCATATTATGTTATATTAGTTTAATTGTTTGAAATTATTATTAAGAATTTGAGTTTAGAATTTAATATTGTGTATTAGAAATTTGAACGTTAAGCGAAATTTTTTTTAGTTTGATTCGATTTGTTTGTTTTATTACAATTGAATGGTTGATGAAGAATTATTTGATCAAGAAGAATTGGATTCTTCTTGAAGTTATAGGATAATTATCACAAATTATCAATGATAGAGTCGCTCAGTGACTCGTTGACACGAGACAAGAAATAATCCAGAAAGTATTTGGAAACATTTCTTATTCATAAATATAATATAATGAAAAGTAGAAGAAGCTCAAAGAGCTTCATTTTTAGTAAATCAAACTTCATTTTTCATATTTCTTTTACAAAAATATATATACACATAACTTTTTTCAAATAAATCACATTTGAAATTTAAGTTTTAAAATTCCAAGCAAACTTGCTTGGTTTCGGTACGAATACCAACGCTAGCAGTTGGAAATAAACTCCAACGTGTTGCATTTGGTCGTATTGCACTAGGTGTAATTTTAGTCACATGGCTCCTTCGAACTTGAAGATTATATTTGAATAGTAGAAATAATGCACAACTGAAAATAAAATTAAAATTAAAAATCAAGCGAAAAATTATCATATAATGATAAACTTAATTATTAATTGAAATTCTTCTTTTAAACCATGACGACATAGATAACCATGATTTTTGTTTATTTATTCAAATATTTCAATAGTCTCACAATTTTTAAACTTGCAAATATTTGAAATTTAATTGAATAAAAAATCATGAGCGATAAAATTAAGCTATTGATATTGCGTTTACTCATTAATTCGATTAGAAATGCACGAACTAAGAATTCACTTTATAAAGATGCGTGTATTTTGATTGTCTTAAAATTAAAAATATGGCATAACAAACGACTGGAACGATTATTAATAACTGAATGGTCATTAATACCGCGTGATCATTGTTGAGAACTTACTGGATGGTATATTTCGAGAAATTATAGCTTATGAAATAAACGGCGTTTAATTTACACTGTACGGTAGATTAATTCAAGAAAATATGATAATTTCGTTATGCAATATACATTTATAATTAATAATGCCACTTATAAAATGATCAGTTTTTACAAAACACTTATATATTTACTTGTTTTAGTAAACAATTATTTTAAGTAAATACTTAAAATAATTATTTACCTCCCATCTTATCCCACTAATTTCTTATTTCTTTACCACCTATCACCTCGCCAATTGTATTTCAATTTTCTTATCTAACCTATATAATGCAAATGTTGCGATGAATATCAGTGAATGGAAAATTGTGAAAAATTGTGATTTGCCGCCTTTCAAATACAGCTCGATATCTTCAGGTATCATACCGTACGCACTTGCTTCATAGTAAAATGTAACGTACCACGGTTGAAAATATACTACGGTCGACTGCAAAATATGAAATTCATAATTATTTCATCAATTTCCATTCAATATGAGAGAAAGATTAATTCCGTATATTTTACTTGTTTGTTTGTTCCATTATTTTGATCAGTTTTTTCGTAAAAGAAATATATTTGCGAATCAAAAAAAGTCACTGTTATTTAAAATAAAATTGAATATTTTGGAGAGAGAGAGAAGGGAAAAAAGTTGTTCATAATTTGAAAAAAATTATTCAAATGAAAAAAAAGTGTTATATAAAAAATAAAAGGAAAAAAATAAAGGGAAGAAAAGGGAAGAAAGTGCAAAAAGTGCAAATTGAACAAAATAATCAAAAATTTCCTTCCACTTTTTTATGCTCCAATTTGCTTATTAGAATGTTACTGAAACTTGAAATTTTGAACCAGTAACAATATATTGTGGGAAATTTTCGAATCAATATTTAAAGTTTTGACAATACAATTCATCTTATTGAAATATTAAAAAAACTGTTACCTAAAAAATAATGGAAGAAGTTTGTTAGATTCATTGAATATTCCTAATATTCTTATGTTTCTAAGATTTTGTTTTTTTTTTTTTTAATATCTAAATCTGCAAAATTTTGTGGGAATACTAAAATGTGCGAGAAAAAATTGTATCAAAAAATAAATTAGCATATTTCTAATCGTATAATATCGTAATGACATTAACTTGCTGATATATGGGATCCACTCGTAAAGTGGATGTTGAACTTTACTGAAATTTAAGATGAAATAAGAAATGCGAGGAAAATTACCTGTACGACAGCAATCACATAACACATAGAACAGAGCATATAAATGGTGGAATTTTGCTGTTTTCTAAATTGACATGGACGACAAATAGCTGCAAAACGTGTCCATGCTATCAATAGCGTATGATAGCACATTGAAAACCACATCGTATCAAAATATATCTAAAATATTAAATGTCACCGATTCAATAATTGATACCTTTAATTGTTAGCAATCAACCAATAGTTGTTATTTAATTATACACAAAGATAACAATTACTCATTAATTTTATTGAGAGAAAAAGTAATAATGATTTTTGAAGAACATTTTATATTTAGAAAATAGTGATGATATGAAGTTTAGCTAATTATTTTAAAATAAAAAAAAGAGGAAAAATGAATAGAATTTAAATAGTACTTGACAGAACCGCCTTCCGTATTTTGGAACGTGTTTTTTGAATAAGATAAGTATACCCGGCAAAAGCGCATAATTTATTAATAAAAACATATTGTTGATTGCTGCGCTGAGCAAATAAAGAAAACTCTTAATTACCTGCAAATTAAAATTTTTCAGTTGATGACTTTGATAATTTTCTTATAAATATTTCAACTTTTCTTATAAATATTAAATGATTATAAAAAACATAGCCAAATAAATCATATATATTCTTTGCGGGAAAGATGCACGCCAATTACCGGTTATCAAATTATTCCACTTCAAACTAAACGATGTGGATTCTAACAACACTTATCTTTTTAATTTTTTGGTCGGATATGGAATATTACAAAAGTTAGCCTAATACAATAGTATTTTTTCACTTTGTTTCAAAAAAATGTATTCAGAAAGATGACATTTTATTAATCGTTATTCCATTTTATTTTAATCACTGTTTTGCTTTTGCCGGAACCAATTTACGCACATTTTAATCTCAAGTATTTTATATTTTTTAGCCGTATTTATGCTGTCATTTGACATTGAAATTATGCTTTAAATTACTCATTTCAAATGACTTACATGAGATTCACGATATAAGACAAAAGAGGTAATAGTACAGATCGATAAGAAAATTATCGCAAAAAAAATTAGCGTCCCTCCAGCAATTTTATCATTCAAATTTAGTGGTTTGTTATACCAATTATCAGCTGTCATATCTTCATTTCATCAGATCAGTTTTGCATCCAATCTAAATATAAATTGACATAGAAAAAAATGATTATTAAGAACGTGGTAGTAGAAAAATATTTGCAGATTAAAATACACAATAACGACAAACTTCAATTTGCATCATTGTTTTTGTTATCATCATTTTTAACAAATTTACTGATTAATGGGTTATCAGCAGTGTGCGAGTGTTATAATTAAAATTTTTATCCCATCAATTTAGGGGATAACATATTGCTGTCATTATTGCAATATAATATGAACATATAATATGAACATTGCTTGAATAAGTTGAAGTTGAAGTTGAAGCAATGTAAATAATACTATTTCCATTCAAAGCTAACATTCAGAGATTATAACTATAATCACTCATGTTTCAATCGTTAATAAATATGTCTCATATAATGACTCGAATTCATCTTACAATTTGAAATTATTAAGTTGATAGCAGTATTGTCAAGAAATTTAGAATGTAAAATACTATTATCTAAAAAATTACCAGTGGAAAGATTTATTGTGATGCTTATCATAAAATCTTTATACCCTATGTAAAATTGTAGTTTGCATAATTATTTACTATTTCTTTTATTTAATTTTACCATAAATATCGAAACAACCGACTTATATTTATTTGATAATTCTAAGCTTTTTATAAGTTTCATGATTTAGTTAGCTTTAAAAGCAGTCTTTAATTGAATTAAAGATAAAAATAAGGATTGGAACCAGAATTAAATTTTCCTTTCCTGCGATTCATATATTTGCTAGTAAAATATATCACCAATCGATGTTATATTACATCAACAATAATCCTGAATTATATCTTCTCGAACTAATACCACAAAGAAGGAATAAATTGCTAGTAAAAGTCTTATAAATCCAGAAAAGAATTCCAACCAAATAATTCGACTTTGCGTAAAAATAAAGCTCTTCTCAACTAATCAAATCAGATCAGAAACATTTACAGAATCATACTCGGAATTTTTTAAATATTCAAAAGTACAAAGAAACAAACTCTATACTCGGAATTTTCAAAAAATTATTCAAAAAATAAAAAAAACAGAAAGGTATCATTAAAATTCAAATAAATAACCGCACAATGTTGATAATAATGACGACAGAGAGGTATCATTAAAATTCAAATAAATAGCCGCACAATGTTGATAATAATGACGATTATTTTTATGATTCGGAAAAATTTTTAAGAATAATGTTTAACCAGTTTTATTAATAAATTTAAAACTAATTATTATTTAACCTTTTTAGGTATGAAAAATTCTGCAAACGCGAAAAAATTTGATTGTAATAAGAAATCATATTAAAATGAAATAATCGATTTGCTTCATTCAGTATATGATACAAAGTGTATTCCATAAAATTGATACTTTCAAAGGACGATGTTGGATAATAAAGTAATATTTTATTACTGCAACTGGAATTTTTGAAATAAAAATGAAATACAAGTGGCTAAATGTGTATCGATCATATTTATATATTTTGGTTTAAGCATTTCCGGAACATTTTCTACATCGTAATTAAACTTCTATTTTGCTTCCATATTTATTATCGGTTTTTTTTTTTTTTTNTTGAATTGCACAACGGTAATTCCAATTATCCGTTGCGTTATCATAAATTTTTGCACTTCTAGAAGTAATACAGAATTTCTTCTGAAACACGGATCGTTTATGAAATTACAAAATGATTAGGCTTAATGGGGATGGAAGAGTGAGTGTCACTGTCGTGAATATCACACTTATGGATTTGTCGAATTGTCCCGTTGAAAGCAAGTGACAAATTTTTCCTCTCAAATAACTTGCTTATTAGAGATTTCACGCAAAAAGTAGGAATTCTGTTTTGATATTTGAAATTAACTGAGTTTATATTTTAGAATAAATTTTTTAAAATCACGGACAAACTACTGTAAACATAAAATTTCAAGGCATTATCATTATTTTAATTACCGGATTGTCTAATTAATTGGTATATCATTCATCCAAGTTTTTTTCAATATTTCTGAAAAATATATGATGCATGAAATTTTGCATTAATTGCAATAAGTGCTACATAACAATTCTTTCCCGATAGTAAACATATACATCAGATAATGATCAAATCATTGCTAAATATTTGGATAATGAAATATTTATAACAACTCTGATAATAACATATGCTATTTCGCTCATTTTTTATGTACCAATTTTTAAACGATTCATTGTAATGATAATTATTGCATAGATGGATAAATGAAAATTTATAGGTTTGTTTTAAACCTAAAATGTAACCAATGAAAGCTGAAAAGATAAATTCGAAACATCTGATTATTGATATGATAAGATAATGAAACCTTTCTTCGTCTTATTTCTTTTTTATTATCTTTTTCAGCACTTTCTTTTTCTCTCATTCAATCTAATTTTTATTTTAATTGAATCATATTTCTCACATTTGAAATTACTTCCGATGTTAGCTTATCAAAAAAAGAGAAGTGCATACTATTTTAATGCATTAATATCAATTTATCTAATAAATTTCAAATCAACAATAATTTAATTTTTAAAAACCGATTTCTAATTTTTATATTCTGAAATAAATGTTAGACTAATATAAATTTCAAAACGTATCATAATAAATTTTTGAATTATTCTCATCTTACGCATATTACATAACACAGAACTAAATCATTTCGCAAATCGCATTTTTTTCTCTATATTTTTTCGAATATTTTTAAACAAATTTTTTTATTCCAAATAAAAGTAAACTTTGCTAGAAAATACAGCATAGACAGAATTGTGTAATTAAATAGAAGCCGAAAAAAATCTATAAAAAAATTAGCACTAACTAAATCATACATATTTACACCTCATTAATGTCGACTAACGACTGCAACATGGCAAATCGTTAGTCCAACTGTCGATTGACGACTATTCAATAGCTGATTTATTTATTAATTTCAAAATAATTAGCTTATTTACTATTCGTATTCTCTACTGTTGGAACAGTTAATCAATAATTGAATCAATAATTCAATTCAATAATTGAAAATAATTGAATTGCCGTACTAAGAGGTGTAAATATGTTTGTATTCTCCGTCCATAAATTTTTCAAAATATCAAAAAGTATGTTTTTTTTAAATATTTCTCAAAAATTTTCTTAAACTAAACTTACAATTCAATGTAAAACCATGTACTGAAATTTTATTTTTCAGAGGAACAATTTTTTAAAAAATCAGCAGAAATAAAATGTGTATTGAATAAATTAGTAAGTAATATAATTCGCCAATAAAAATGGAAAAAGCGGAGAAAAAACTGATATCTGGAAACCTTCTTAACATTATAATAATGAGTATATATAATTTTATTTTCAAAAAAGTCCTCATTATAACTTAAATCAGAATTTTTTTTCGTCAAATTTATTTTGTTTTAACAGAATAAATAGAAATAGTGTGCTGAATGAATATTTAATCTAAGAATTTAAATTAGTTAAATTTGGAAAAACAAGCCACAAATTTCGGTTATTAAATCGAAACAAAAAACCTAATAACTGAAAACTTTCGAAAAAGTTCAAACATTTTATTGTAAAAATCACAAAAGAAAACAATTTTCAAAAATAGAGCTGCTCCTAACTCTTTACGTATCAGGACGAAAATTTGCGTAGTGGCAGTTTTTTTGGATGTTTACGTGGACAGACTTGTGTTCGGTGTTTGTTCGTTGGCTAAGTTTCCGGTTTTCCGGAATAGGACCATTTAGCCGTCGAACTGTTGTACTGAACGTCTCAAACAGTGTCAGCAACGAATATTCAATATGGCAGTAGAATGACAATTATTGAGTGTAGAAGAAGCACAATTGAATAGTCAAATTTTTGATGGAGTTGTTAAGACGACGGTCTTGACTTGATACGTGGTATTGTTTAAGCATGTTTGGAATAATTGTCTTTCACATGACTATGTCACCAGCAGTCGCTTAATCCTGACTTATCGTGCATAGCTGGAATATAATGAATCAGTGCTTTGATGTTACATGCATATGTGTGATTGTTATGTAGTACGTACAAAGGAATGCTTCTTATATTAGGTGAAGATTTGTAAATGACTTTTTAACTTAGTGTGTTAATTATTTTTCTGTTAAATGTTGTAGATAGTAGCTGCTAAATAATTTGATGCGTGCGATAATTATGCCCGCGTCTTCTTATTCTTAACGATTTGGAATTTCAGAAGAGAGATAGCACTGCAACTGTTGGAATTATTCTAATTAATGAACAATTCCCAAGATAGTGCAAGTGTTGATCGTATGCCACATCTGAAGCAACTAGTTCTAAGCGGTGATGACAGCGCATCAACTTCTGAGCCAGATGTGGTATACCTTAAGAAATTTAAAAAGTAGGGTCAGGACATGGACTTTTAACCGTTCTGATAATTTGGATTCATTTGTTAGCAGAAATAATTGGGAATGTCAGGTTAATGCGAATACACTCAGTGATATTCAAGTTCCGTTCCATACTTTATTAAGCTCTGCTTGTGTAAGTTTTATGAAATATAAGGAATTTATTTCATTTTTTCTGACCGTACACTGATATGGAACAAAGGTAACGCCCAGCATGAGGAGAGAAAAAGAGTTTTAGAAGGGAGGCAAATAGAAAGTCTATGAAACTTAAGTACTTAAATATTCATTTAATGTGGCTGTTTAGTCTAAAATTATTTTTTAACAGGAAAAAAATAGTTTAAACAGCATGCTTGCTAATGGTGTACCCGATACGCCATTAGGACAAGCTGTAACAAATTTGCATGCATCCTGGGTGCAACTAATTAGTGATTTGTCAGCACGAACAGGTTATTTACCTCCAACGCTGGAGCATATCAAAGAAGTTGCTGAATGTGCAGTCCGTCAGGTTGGTTTCATTCTAATAACTATGCTTAATATTGACTTATTGCTATTGTATTTTGTCTTTTTGATATGTGATCCTTTTGTCTCATAGAATTAGTGATGTATTCCTTTCGTTTCATTTGCAATAAAAAGGCTTTTTTTTAGTATTGCTTACATTTGTGCTCATAAGTTTTTATCTTTCAATAATCACCGCATCAGGTTTTATTAATACAATTTGTGTTATTTTGTTATTATATATTCTATTCACCAAAGGGATATAAAGATTTTAAAGTCATGAGGTGGTTTTTTTTCAGTTAAAAGATTCTTGTCATGACTTAACTCGTGAATTTGCCCGAGTTGGTCTTGAATGGCGTCTAACGCATCCAGATGAGGCTCTCGCTGAGGTATATTTTCTTTGCAAGAATTCCAGGATCCTCTTATAAATCAAGTAATATTATCTGCAATGAAATCCGAATGTAATTAAGTCTTTTCTTGTATTTATTTCAGGATTTAGCAGATTATGATCAAGCAATGTTACGACAAGAATCGTTGCTGGGTCGAGCTGCTGGGATTGTTGAACGACGATTGAACGATTTAGCAGCTGAGAAAAGTTCACAGGGATCTGAATAACTGTATGATATGACCAGTTATTGAACTGAGACTGCAAGCAAAAAATGAATTGTTTCTCGAGGGAATAAAAACTTGGACTGTTGAAAATGCAGAATGGCAATCTATTTATAACAATTGGTTCTGTTATGTCCAAAAAATAAAAGTTTGAACTAGGAGAAGAATGCGAACATAATGAAAAATGTAAAAAGTGAAGAAAAGTGCTTGAAACAAATTATTTCTGTGAGGTGAATAGTTTGTACAGTTATTCTTTTTTGTGATATGTTCTGTTTCTATGTAAATAAAATGATGAATGATATTCAAATTTTTATTTGACGGTCCTATAGCCGTATTGTGCATATCTTTTCGTCTTTACTTAATTTATCTTTATGAGCTTTTTTGGTTTTGAACAGTAGGTAGTTTTATCCTATTTTTACCAATATAGATATTGTTCTTGCTTATACATTCTTCAAAAGTGGCATTTCCTAAACTCATCACCATAATGGAATTTGCATCAATTGAGTTAGGTTTATTTTTATTTCCTAACCGGTCCTAATTGCATAAATTATGTATCGGAAGATCGATTGGAATCCGGTGCTTGGGTAGACAATATGTAAGATATCAGCGGAAGGAATATGAAACTTTGGGAAACATTTTGCACAAGGAAAAGATGCACGAACAGTAGTAGGTTTGGCTTGAATAAAGTATGATTGGTAGAAATCCAGTGCTTGTGAGATGGGTCTTCATCTTTGCTTGCATTTTATACAGAAACATATTAAAGCAATTTTTCGGACTTCGAAATCTTGCAAGGGATTGAAGAAGTTCTGAGATAAAAGATTATAATGTTGCAGGAGTTGAAGATCGTGCCAAGAAGAAACAGACGAAAATGTGGCACGAAGCCCGCCGGCAAGAAAAATTGATACGATCACAAATGATTGATAGCGTCAAACGGAATGAAAGACGCAAACAGTTCTATGAGAATGTTGTAAGTTTGCATTCAGTGTGATCTAGAATGTTTTTCAGGCATTTTTATCAAATTAGGAATAAAGAATGATCTGACTTGATCGAAATCAGATACACGATCGTATAGCTGGTGTTAGCTGTGCTGTATTACTTATTTTTATTATTGTTATTAAATTATTAATTGTTATTATTACATTACTGTTATTGTTAATTATCTGTTATTTAATATTATTTATTATGAATGGTCTTATTTGGTGTGGTATTTCTACTTTTATGCAATAGCTAAAGAATTTGTTTATTCTTGATTATGTAAAATGAGAATATTATAGAGGAAAGATCCTGAGCAGTTCATGCAAATCCATGGCCGCAAATGCCAAATACATATGGATCCGGCAGTAGCACGTGCTGCCGAAGCATCAAGCATCCTGTGCGCGTTTAACATTAGTAATTTGCTCGTCTTTTGTATAAAGCATGCTTCTCACCATGGATTCAATCTGTTAAATATCTTTTTTATTTACATCTTTTTTGTCCTTTGCTTTTTCTCGTTAAATTTTGCTCAAAATTAAGTTCCAATTTTACAATTCTCGTCGATCATCTCATTCAGTAAATTAAAGTAATTTGAGACTTAAAAGGAATTGATATAGAAATTTGTCATTTTTTCATCAGAAATTATAGTCGGTTTATAAATATAGGCTGTTTTTAACCATCACGAGGTGGTTGTAACCATTGGATTTATAGTTTTTTAATAAATGGATTTTATTCCCTTAAAATCTTATGAAGCTGATGTTACATGTTAGGGTGACGAGAAAGATATGGGATTAATGTAATTATGGGTAATGACACTTGCTGAAAAGATGGTGAATAAGAACTAAAGAGTAATATGTTATATCAGGGCGAGAAAAAAAATGCCAGAGTAAACATGGTAATAATAACTATGCAAGGATAGAATTGTTTTTGTGGTTCAAGTCTTCACATTTTATTCAGCAGTATTTAGATTTTTTCAATTTGATGGTATCAAGGAGAACATGGTATATCAATTTTTAAAATATCAGAATTTGATCGGTGGATTTGTAGGAGACGATGGCAAGGTGATCCGAATGTACTGATTGATCGGTTCGACGTTCGGGCGCATATGGACTATATTCCTGACACGAAGTCTGGTGATGTTGATAAAAAGTAGGTTCCGATATTACTTATGCAGCGATGAAAGGCGTGATTATATGTATTTCATTCGGAAAGGTTGGGGCAGTAAATTATTCAGTTTTTCATAGTTATTTTGGGTTGCAATTTGAGGAGATTTTCAGAAAGAAACTTATTAGAAATTGTGGCAAAAACTATTTGCGTCGATATTTTTCTTTCTCATTATTTGTGTGGTTTTTCTCTAGCTTTTTGTTGGGATGTCTTGGGTCTTGTGTAACTAAAATTGGTGTGGAAAAAATTTTGGCTTAAAATAAATCTATGGAGAGGAAAGAATGGGGAAGAATTGAGTTTCCACTTTTTTTTGTTTCAGAAGTTTTGCACAGAATTGATTGATAGTAAAAAATAATTATAATGGATTGCAGATCTGTGGTAGATGTTGAAGAATTGCAGTGTGAATATGAGAGGTATCGAATCCTTGTACTCAATGAATTTGATAGAGGTATGCATCAATTACTATAATGCCCAGAATCGCCGGATTCCTTATCATCAAATGCAGTGCATCTTCCGATAATCATGAGACACGGTCTGCGTGAACACTTACCCTTCATCAGGTCTTCCGTGTATACTGAATAGGCGAACAGTGATTCGGTTTACAATTTCTTTGTCTAACACTTTAACATTTATTGGAACTCTCTGGAGTATATCCTATTGAACCTCAACGTTATCGATTTGTTACGCACTGAGTTGTATAAATTCCATTTTTTATCAAGAGTTTCATTTCTGCTGAATTAAAAAATAAATTAAATTTATTTTGCAGTGTCAGAGAAAACTTTTTTGAAAGAAATAGCTGCGAAAGAATTTTGGCCGGATGAATCTACTTCAACATCACTTGCACGTGCTGAACAAGAAAAGAAAAAATTGCTGTAAAATTTACGAACTTTTAAAGGAAATTTGAAATTTTTTCAGATTTTCGGAATTTCCAAGAAATCTGTTTTGGCCATTTTATATACTGTTGGTAAAATAGTTTCAGCATTTATTAATATTCCAGTTGATGTTATGTAATCTGAAATCTTTTTCTGTAACGAAAGATAGAATAAATACATACATTTCATGTTCCAGCAAAGCACGAAATCACAGGTTCTTTTATCAGGTTTAATTATTCACTTTAAAACTTGCAGCTTTTAAACTCACTTTTAGGCGGGACAGAAAGGCTGCTGTGGCGTTTACTTATGGTGATACGCAAACAGTGCAAGGTAAAAGCGTGGAAACGGATGATTCTGAGGAAGAAGACGAAATTGTTGATTCTGATGAATTCGGTAGATATTTCTCGGTTTTTTTGAATTAATTTTTAAAATTTATCTATACTGTTATCATTATCGATTATCATTTCATGAAATAGTGCCAAAATGATTGCAGTGTGCTACTTATTTCTATAAATGTTTATTATATACACTAAAGCAGAAGTTTATGATGATAACATAGTTTTTTGGGAGAACTTATAAAAAAATTGAACTTCATATAAATATTCTGTCAACTAATTCAATTATTTGGATAGGTTTTAATTATAGATTTGAAATTGGATATAGATACATTGGACGCTGAACAGCGGCGAAATTTAAACAAATTGGGCATTCGTTATGGCATAAGTTCGGGTGCATTCTCGAGTTTGTTAAAAATGGATCGTCGTGAGCAGGATGAAACGCATCAGCTGAAAGAAATTGAAAAAGCCAAGCTAGCACTCGCTGTCTGTAATTAATTTGTTGAATAGTCTTTTCCTTTTGGTCGGTCGTTCGGTGGAGGCCTACCTCTTAGTGGTGATAGCCATCACAATTTTGGGCTTCCCAAAAGAGATTATCATGTTCTCAGAATCAGAATTCTGTTCAATTTTCTAACAATAGTAAGATTTGGTACAAAAATTAACCAGCAGATAAGGAAAAGAAACGGAAATATAAAAGAACTTCTTTTGAAAGCACTGTTTTGTTTTAGTCTTAATTTTTTTCAATAAATGAGATTATTATGCTTCACACCAGAAATATTCGTTTAATATCGCATCTTAATCCTATGACTATCACGTGAAGAATATTCAAAAAAATAAGATTTATGCTTATATGATTGATTTAATCATCTAAAATGTACATAATTCTATTTTCACTCATTTGTTGCGATTTATTCTTCGGTAAGGAGAAGGTTTTTATTAATTGATCTGCATCCCTGAAGAAATAAAGTTTTGCTCGCTTACTCAGACTTGCTGTAATGCTGCTTTTGGTTTCATGTTTGAATTGATAACTTCATTTTAATGTTATGTAATTGAAATTTCAGGGCCGACAAGCAAAAGCTGAAAGAGCTGTTTTAAAAAAGAAACGCGCATTGATTGTTGGTAAAGGTTGTTTAAACGAGGAAGCCACAACCACTTTACTATCGTTCGTTACTAAAAGTCAGAAAGAACATTTGGAAACGTTAGTTTCTTACCGAAATTTTGGTAACAAGGAATAATGAATTCAAATTATTATAAAAATTAAAAATCGATCTAACACATGTTTCTTTTTTTTCTAAAGGTTCTCAAACTTACAATTATTTATAATGATTATTGCCTGAAGTGTAATGAGAAATATCAGTGCGTGAATATTCCGAAAAGTCTTAATTCTTGATGGTTACACAGTACTGTTTTATCCAAACATTACATGTACTAAGATAGATTGCTCTTAACAAAGATTATAATGATTGGATTAGATCTATTACTGAGACGGGGAAGAAAGGACATTTGCAAATTGTTTTTCTTAGAATGCAAAGTATAACATGAAGTAATGTCTGGTAATGTTTTATGAATTTGTTTATTTGATTAATCTTTTTATGCAGGTCATCATCTTCATCGACAGAGGAGGATGAAGGAAAGACAGAATTTATAACAACCTTCGGTGGTGATGGTACCGAAGATAAGGATGAGGAACGCGATGATGATGACGATGGCGGAGCAAAAATGCATGGTCCAGCTTTACCATCTGCAGAATTCAGGCGTATTTTGTAAGTTATTTCGTTTCTTCAATTTTCACCAGTTGGAAAATCCGTCCTTAGAATATGTATATTGTTTTCGGGTAAATGTTTATAATTTGTGGATATTTCAGTGAATTGAAAACACGTCGTTCGTCGAGTCCGGAGGATTTCGGAAATGTTTCAAGAACTCGCGTGCGTAGTAGATCTCCTGACCGAAAGCGATTTTTACGTTCCAGTCGTGAACGTATTTTAAGGTCAAGAAGCCGAGAGAGATTACGTCGTTCTAGAAGTCGGGAGCGGTATGACCGATCGAGAAGTTCAAGTAATGGAAAGAGACGAAGATGTAGCAAAAGCGGAGATAGACTGCGAAGCCATAGCCGTGAAGATGATCGGCCTTCCGAGCATGGTCGTTCAAGAAGCAGAGATAGAAAGCGTGAAGATGTCAAAATAAAACAAAGGTTAATAATTCAAAAAAAATACTTGATCATTTTAACTTCATAGTATGCCATATTGATGAAAGTATTCATATAATTATGGGTTTTTCTTTAGTTGAAACTACCGCATGAGATTTCTTTATTCACTAAATACATTTTGCAGATGAAAATTGAGTTTCTGGTTGTTTTGAGTAGAGTTAATTTCCAAATGGAATCAGAGACAACTTTTAGTTTCAAAAATTAAAGCTTTTCATTTTATCGTTTCAGTCGTAGGAAGAGCAGTGGTAGCAGTGAAAGTGGTTGTAGTCGTTCACATAGTCATTACAGTCGTAAACGACGTGCTGGTGAAGGGAGTGAGAGGTGTTTTTTATTGTTTTTAATTGAAATTTCTTATTATTTGGTTGCTTTTTTCACTTTCTAGTTTCCTCCTTTTTTTTTAGAACTGTATTATATTAAAAATTTTAATTTGATAAAAAAGATTTTTAGATTTACAGAAATCAGCTTTTCCTGTTTTTTCCAGTTCTAAGAGATTCAATGATAAGAAACGTCAGAAGCGTCGAAGAAAATATTCGTTTTCAAGCGATACTAGCCGTACACCACCACCACTATCACCACAAGAGAGAAAGGTTGGCATGTATGAAAGTTTTTGATTGCAGGTGTTTCTTGTAGACTTTTTGTAGATGATATACTAGTTGAATATCAATTTTAAGGATCGTTCTATTAAATTTACAGCATTGATTATTAGTAAAGGGAAAAATTACCATCAGAATTCATAATTTAGTTATTTTGTTAGAATGGAGATGATCTTAGGTAAACGCAGTAACCAGATTGAGAATAGATCGGAGATGTCAAGATAATAAGACTGATAGCTTCGAGCCAATTCGACTTTGTTCGTCAACATCAGGACATGTTCATTCATCTCACTCATCTATCAGCAATTTTTCCAATTTGTGATCATTTTCGACATTATATCGATTGATTTTAATTTTCTGAATATATTGCTTTTATAGAAAAGTTTGTTCTAGGGCACAGGTTCAGTTCTTTCACCAAGTCGGAGTAATGGAGACACTTCACCTCTAGAAATTCGTTCAAGTATGAGCGAGTCAGAAAAGGAACGTATTGAAGTTGAAAATCGGCGTCGACGAATACGTCGAACGGCAAAAATGCATCGGTATAGATTTTTCTTATTTGGTTTATATCTTTTTTGACCAGTAAAAAAAGTCAAGAAGGACTTTTCTTACTATTTCGAATATCAACTTAATTTTCTATGAAAGATCTTAAATTTGTAGTGGATCGGCGTCGACGAATTTCTCTTGCACATTATCCACTGTGTAGATTCGCTTTGCCTGATCTGATATATTTTTTTTAAATTGTCAAATTACTAGCTAATAACACGTCATCCTTTACTGCTATTCTTTATTAGTTGTTACACTGAAATTAATTCTATTTTCTCTTTTTACAAATTTTATTTTCGTCAAATATCTTTCCCAAAGATATAAACAATACAAATAGCTTGGAAATGACATTGGTTTTTTCCACTTCAATGATACATTATTATTCTATTAATATTATAAGTTTCAGGCAGCAGTACGGTAATAATCATCATGGTCGATCATCAGAAGATGAGGCTGAACGTGTAAACTATCTTATATAATATTTTTTAGAATTCTTTGAAATTTATTCACGCGAGTAAAAAATGCTTTCAAGATATATAGGATAGGTGCCATAAAAAGCTGTCATATGCCATGCATGCTTTGTTCGAAACATTTCTTGAGATAAATTCCTGAAATTTCAGAAAGCTGCTCTTGCCCATAAACTTCGTACGCAAATGCAACGGGTTTTACGTAAAACGGCGGAACAACTAAAGGAAGAAGAAAGGCAAAAACATGAGGAACATGAAAAAGAAAGAAGAGTAAGTGTTGTGTTTTTTTCTGCTTAACTGCTGAATTCAAATCCAACAATTCGTTCATTTTTCATTAGAATTTAATTTTTTGTTCTCAAATTTTTTATATCTTCAGTTACGTGAAGAAAGATTATTTGAAGAATCACTGGAAATCAGGAGACGGTAAGCTATTGCACAAAATTTTTTAATTTTTATAAAGTCTTCGTGAGAACATAGATATGAGCGTACTTAGATTGCTAAAAACTTTATAAAATAGTGTATTTACTGCTATTGATTTTGAATATAATTCTCCATATTCTTGATAGCTGTGTTAATGGGAATCCTAATTACGACCGTAAAGAAAAAATATTGAATAACTAGAACTCTTTTTCATTGCTTCTTAAAATAATCAGAAATTATTACAAATAGATACAACATGTTGAATTTTGCTATTATATTTTAGGGAACGTGAAAAACGTCGACGTGAACGTCGTGGTCGTAGTAGAAGCAGTTCTGCGTCGTCAAACTAGTCTTTTGTTTAGAAATGAAAGCTATTCATAAAAACACTGTATGGAGTGTTTCACAGTGGTTGATTCGTTGATTTATATTTATGATCCAAATGAGGATTTCGAGACTCTATCTTAAACATCAGATAGGTTGAGACATGGTCATTTCTTTTTACCTACTATTCATTTTCTTCCTTTTCCCTTGCCTCTTGACGTCTTGGCCAATTTAATGTTATTTTGTTAATGAGCTTTGTAAATTCTTTCATATCAAATCTGTAAGATCCTTTCTTCCACAGCTATAATACTGACATCTGGATGTAATTTTGGGAGTTTTGATGGAGGGTTTGGAAAATGAAAATATATATGGTAAAGTTAAAGATATAAGTTATAGCCTGAAGAGGGAGAAGGACTGGGATGGCTTGAAAATATATGATTTTTTTGTCTCTGTCTCTTTTTTGGCAACCATTAGTCATCAGATGTATTAAGCAATTATTTTTTCTATTTGAGATTCTGTTCTTTTATAGTTCTTATGTTAACGTTCCACTTTGAATGAAAAATTTTAAATTTTTGATTTGAAATTTTTCAATTTTTTTTCAATTCTTTCAAAAATTTTGGAATAGTATGACGTAAAATTTAATCAGAGAGTTGCTGAGCACAAAGATTGGCGATCGCGTGAAGGTCTCGTATTTTGTTTTCCATCAGTACCTTGACAATTAGAGCACGATCAAAGATTTGATCCAAACGATTGATTATCTTAGCACATCTCGCATCATAAGCTATTCGTGTTGATCGTGTTACTGTCAGCTTTGTTGATGTCGTTGATAAAGTTGCAGTATTTCGTGATACCTATGATCACTGAAGTTATAATTATTACTGATTGTAGTTATGATTTCTGTATTATTTGTGAATAAAAATTGATGCTATACATTTGAAGTTTATGTTTGAAGACAAATAATCATGAAAACTACAAAATTAATCACTTGAACAGTTTTAAATTCGAGCTTAATATGTTTGAAATTTAGTCTATGCAACGTCTAAATGAACGTGTTCATTTTCGCATCGAACAAATTTATGTTACGTTCGGACGTAACGTAAACTCGTTTGACGCGAAGAACATTTCTGTTACTGTCTATATTCGTCTTACTGGTCGCTCAATTTAAATTACATTTAATTGCGATTCGCGAAAGTTACTACCATTTTTGGTTTTCGTTGTTTTGCTGTTTTTTCTCGTTTTGTTACTGTGGAAGCTGCAATTATCGAAGAAATTATTGAACTTGTGGCGAAATATTGTTATAATTGAAATTTGTGTGAATAAATCGCTAATTATTCCTCTAATTATTTCATTGCTATCATCAATTAGAGGAATACCCAAGAAGGAAATGTTTTCCGGAATGGTAATATTTGATAGCTGTTTGTATTAAGTGAAATGAAAAATGCAAAGGAAAGTAAAATTAATGTCAAGACAATCATTATTAACTTGAAATTATGAGATCAGAACCTTTGAACAATTGTACTGTTAACGAAATCATAATGCTCAAAAAAATTAATAAAATAGATAGAATTGATAAATTAATCATTTACAAGAAACTGGTGGTGACAGCCATCTTTTTGTCAGTTCTTCAGGATGAATTAAACTTTTACAACAATCGAATGCACGTTTCACACTAGCAGTATTATTAGTTAATTCCTTAAATTAATAAACAAAAATATGCTAAATTTTTGACTTCGTGGCATGTAATGACAGCTATGAGTTAGATATCTCTAAAGTTTGTTTTCTTCAGGTTTTTCAATCTTACTTTGCTTTTTTACATTATTGTTTACTCGCTTTTTATATTATTGTTCATCCTGACTGGTGAACAATAATACTCATACCTGAGCTAAAATATGACAACAAAGTAATTCTGTTGTAAATGTCAATTATTCAACTGTTAAATGAAATTTTTTAGAAATATGCAAAATTTCTGGTCAATAATAATTTAATTTCACATTTTACTTTTGTATTTGAAAATTGAATTGGTATAATTTTTGGTACCAAACAATTCTTTGCAGCAATTTCATCAAATAATGCATCAATCGTGCAAACAATTTCATCTCGACGTTCCACTGTCCAACGCTGTCTACGACTAACAGCCTGAAATGGTATAATCAGTTTCGTCACCATTGGGATGTGCTAATTAACTGTCGATTTTAATTAGAATCTCATATCAAATGGAAATAAAGTGATAACGAAATTTCTAATAGATAGTCTGACTTTGCTATATCATTTGTTGATAATAGATTAAGCTAGTTGATAATTGAGGACGATGATTAGGAACAGTTAAAATTATTGGTTGGATAGTTTTATGGATAAGATTTGTTCAAACTCATTAATATCTCTTAAAAGCTATCTTGTTATTTTTCAACTATTTCAATTATAGTTCTTCCATTAACGTAATATCACATGCGCAACAAATATATCATGAGATACCTTAACATAATCTTTGTCATCCGGAAGACAATATAAGCGCTGTTGTATGTGTTCTTCAATTTGCCAAAAATCATTATTATCATCTAAATATAAAACGAAAAAATTTCTATTCATTTAGTTTAAAAAAATAATCATAATTATAATGATAATTTGGAATTAGATTGAGTTAGTTGTTTTCAAAATATTTCCTTAATTTTTTTTAATGGTATATACCGCAAATATCTTTATTGTGTCGGTAATCAAAATTGCGAAGTTTAAACTGAAAAGAAGAAGAATAAATGAAAGTGAATAGAAAATCTAAATATTTTTAGAATGTCACGCTGAACATACGTATAATACAAATTTCAGGTAGGAAACGAAAGAAACGGTCACGTCCATAATGAACAAAATCGCTGGTTAATGGACGAAAAATGACGTTAATTCGACGTTCCTCAATTATTCGACGCAAATCTCTGGAACAGTAAAATTAAATTTTATATTTGTTTAACGATTTTTATCTTTTTTCTTACATCTAGTCACGAGGAACATATTTTGTATGGTTTCCCGAGAATTATCAAAGAAAATATTAAAAGAAATAAAATCGAAATCGGAAAATTTAGATTTTTTTTTTTGAAATAAATGAGAAGTAATTTTTATTTTTTTCTAAGAAAACACTTTTTTGATTATTTTTTCTTGTTTTACGAAATATGCGCACAAATTTTATCTCAGAAAATGATTTTGAGTTAAATTTTTTGAATGACTATTCAGTCAAATAAAAAAAATATTGGAGCCAAAAAAAAAACTTGTAAGAATGTTCTTTTGCTATGTCATCAAATCTATCACTGGATAATACACAACCACCATGACGTTCCGCAAATTCCAACACGTACAAATCATCGTAATTGATGAATGCCGGTCGACCGGCGCGTGCGGTGCGAGCTGGAGTAAATGTTAGCACATCCAAACTTTGCAATTTCTATAAATCTCTCTACCATCAGTAATTTTTTTCTTTTCTTTATTTTGTCAGATTATTAATTATTATCTTTAAGCAACTTTATTTCTCTTTATTTTCTTAATATCTTATTTTTCATTTGTATTAAGAAAAGTAGATGTTGAATATTGAATAACTTTTAATTTTTCTTGGTCAACCACTGCAATTGAATACTCTATGATGTTATTAATTTGTTTTTTAGTTAATGTAAAAATGATTGATAATTAGTTTAAAACGTTTTCTCATTGCTAATGCGTTTTTGTATCCAAACATTTGTAATTACTAAAGATTGCAAACCGATAGAATTTGTGAATTGGTTGCAATAAAATTGTAATTGTTGTTGTAAATTACGGGCAGAAATATAACAACATCCAAATCTCGAATTAGGAAAAATCGCACGATTGCTAATAAGCCAGCACAATTAACATTTCCGGAAATTTATTCGTGAAGGAGTGAATTGTAATAAAAAAAGTTTGAGATGAAATATTTACTTGCAATACAAAACTATTACTTTTCTCGTAATTTCATGTAAAAATTACGATAACGACCAAATTTTCAAGTTTACAAAATATCATTTTATTTACTGTTGTCTAACTTATTTTGGCAAAACTATTCACGTCTTTTTTTGCTTCTTCTTCATTAAACTTACTCACGATCTGTTCCGCATGAACTGCGGGCAACGTTACAACCATCGATAACAATAAGACGTGGTACAGCAGATTCCGAGGGTCTTGCGTAGATGCGTTCTCGTATTCGATCAAACGGATACATCACAACGCTAAGTGATATTTTTAGAAATGAATTTTCCATTAGTTGAAAATGAGAGTTCTGTCAAGATATCACAATCATCACTCTACTTCTTTTATTATCCTTTTCATAATTACTTGCAAATTACTGATGTTGCATTAACCGAATACTTGTTAACATGATTTTAGAATTGATTCCTAATTATTAACTTAATATGTAATATGAAGTTAATATGTAATATGAGATAATATGAAGTTATATGAATTAATATGTAATATGAAGTCTTTTTTCTTTCACTAAAAAATCTTGTGGTAAAAAATTTGTTCTGCTAGATTTGAAAATTCTGAAATTCATTTTGATAAACTTTTAAGAATTAAATTTAAAAATTGATGAATTATTTCTATGTGTTATTTGTCTATAAAAATAACAATATCTATCCTATCAACAATTTAATATTTATGTTGATGAAAAATTATGAAAATGAGTAAACATACGTCAAAATACTTGATTCAGGCGCCTGTCAGCAAAAAAATAATTGAAAGTAATGGAATTATGTTTCAAACTACAATATATTTCAATAAAGTCATTGAAAATTTGATGCAAATTTTAAGTTCAAATTTATTTCAATGAATTAATGGATAAGTAGAGGCGCCTTTATTTGATTAATATATGCAATAATTATTCTAAGAATAGCCTACTGAATTTATTCATTTATATTTCTCTTTATCCAAAACGGCATCGTTTATTCAGAGATAAATTTATAATTTTAAATCGATTATAATCAGCAGCATCTTAACTAGCAATTAACTCTGTAATGCCAGTGTTTATGTACTTTAAACTTTGAATTCAAAAAAATATGATAAAGACATGATCAATAATAAGAAATAATATGAGATTGATTTATAATAATCATTGATATAATTTAGCATATCTATAATTTTATTAAATAATTACAGCATTTAAAAAATCCCAGCATAATAACTATTAAGGTGAAATAATTCAAGATATAATTTTGAATTAAAAAGCAATTTATTGTGTGTAATGGGAATTACAAATCGTTTTTAAAGCATTATCATTTCTTTTTTGTGTTGAGCATTTGATTAAATTTTAAAATTTCGATCAGCTGCTGTTATACGAGCTAACGGTATCTTCTTATATATTATAAAAAAGAAAAGTTTACAAAATAACATGTCATGTTTAATTATTTAACTAATATCCCAAATATGCAAATTTCATCTACCTAAAAACAAAAAAAAAATGTAAAAATGGATATTAAAGTAAGTACTTTAAATTTTCGAAAGTTTGAATTGCGTCGTGAACATACTTCCCAAACTCGAAACTTGCTTTCAACTGTTCACAACTTTTTCAATAATTTAAATAAACTCTTGAAAAAAATTTGCGATTTCCTAGAAAAAAAGCTAACAGAACGAAATAAACCTCTCCAATTTGTATGCATTTACTGAATGTATTTTAACTTTTCAACCGATTTTACGTACCCCTCCACTTTTCCTTTCTTTCAGTTCATTTGAAATCCGCCAGTTTCATTATTGTTAAAATTTGTTGAACTTTTCAAATAAAATTAAATGGGCGGCAGAGTGAAAACTGCCATCCCATCTTTGCTATTGATAATTTTCTTTTTTTATCAGACAGTGTTAGTTAGTTTTTTTTATTTGCGTCGTTTTGTTTGTGTGTTTATTTTATTTGTACAATACTAACTGAGTAACTAATCGAGAATTCGAGTAATTAATAGAAAACCGAGCCATTTTAGTTTCATCACTTACTTGTATGTTGTGGTATCTCAGTTCTGAATAAACATGTAATATGGTTTATTTGCCAAAAACTACATTGTCAGTTTAATAATATAATAAATACTTAATGGTTTTTTTTGTATATTACAATAACAAATATAAGATAAATTTGATAGCATAATACTATTGATGACAGATTGGATTTCTATATTATCAAATGCATAATAGTATCGTTAATGATGATTAATAGAATTTAGCATTGTGGTACTAATAATACAGTTGTAAAATATGTTTGTTGCTGTTATTGATGGTAGATATGTCTGCCTTTTGATGTATATATGCAGTATTGCTTTCAGTAGATGCAAATCATCAGTTTTAGAAAATAAGTTATAATGACGATCAAGTTATCAACTTATATTTGCGTCGTATTATTCGGCTCTACATCATGGTTGAATACAAATTCAGTATGGTTGGAATTACCGTTGCTCATTGAAAAACTGCCAGAAGGATGGAGTTTACCGTCGTATCTGACTGTTGTCGTACAGGTGAGCTAAAGCATATGTAGGTAACAGAATTTGTTAGAATTTCCAATGCATTTAAATCGTAAAGAATATTTTATAAATACATATTGTTAATGCCGTAAGATATCCAACAGAGGCATTAAGATGACCGTTTCAGTTATAATAAACCGGTTTGAATTCATCCTTATCCAAATTTATTTCACTTTTATATGATACAAGAATTTGTGTATAAAATAAATTTGGATGAGGTTTGAAGAATGATGGTCTCTAATAGAAAATTTTGGGGGAGGATAGGTTGATCCATCAATCGATTTTTTATTTTTAAATTTATTAAATAATTCTGGATTAATGCACTGGTTAGTAGTTTGACATTGATAGTAGCTATATTTAGATTAAAGTAGTTAACGAAATTAATTCATGGTATCTAAATATAATAATTTATGCTAACAAATAATTCTATTCATACGTAATTCTATTTCGACGTTATCATCGAAAAGTTTGGCCTAGAAAGTAGGCTTTTTATTTGTATCCATGGAATGCTCCTTTAACTATAGAAATCTCAACAAGTGTTCATTTTCTTTAAAAACTTTTTTGAATAAAAAGATCAAGATAAGTGCACTATAAGTGTGACAGCAATTACTGGTAAGCTTATTTTAATGCAGTTGGTTGATTAATGCGGAGCCAGACTTATCTAGTTATCGTTTAATTTATAATTGGATATTTATGCTTATTTTTATTTGTTTTGAATGTTTTAGACTGCTTCAATTGGTCCGTTGGTTTACAGCATCATGCGTAAATTTTCAAAAATATCCATTCCAATACCAGCTATAATCCTAACATTACTTATATTTTGCTGTTCATGTACCACGTTGATGGCATTGTTTTGGTCCCAGACAGTCTTCCTTTTTGGACAAGAACGATCTGTGATATTAATGATCTTACTTTTTGGTATATATTTTTACATTCTTTCTTAAAATTAACTATTATGAAGAGGTGATTTAAACCGATACCAATACGGTTTAAATCTATTAAACCAATACGTTGAGAGCAATACTCTAATTATTTATTTTGCACGTATTAGTTCCATATGGAAAACTTACCAATCCAAGACTGAGTGCATGACACGTTATCTAGATCCTGCTAAGTGATATGAATCCAGGAAGAAAATCTCTTGAAATATATATATATATATACTGCTTGAATATATTACTCATTAGGTATGGCATTAGTCAATGGAACATCAAATGTACTATTTATGCCATATATGGCTACATTTCATGCTTCTTATCTAACAGCATATTTTGTTGGAATGGGCTTAAGTGCTTTGTTTCCCAGTATCGTTTCGATTTTGCAAGGTTACTCTTTTCTTAACACATATCTTTACATCTTAAGAATAAGCTTCACTAATTAGAATTGAATTTAATAGTTTTGGTATTACTGAGTCTGATCTCCATTAGGTAGATTTTCAGCATTTAGTGATATTGTGGTAAGAAGATATGCATTGGTGAAGCTCGCTAAAGATAGCAGTGAAGATTAAATATTCTATTCACAGTTCTGTTTCATCTCTTATTCATTTTATGGGTAGTGGCAATGATTGCATCGTTGTAAATGGGACGTCGGTGCAAACCAGGGGTACTTTACAATTTGGTGTCGCAGAATTCAATTTTATAATGCTTGGTTGGATGCTTCTTGCTACCGCTGCATTTGTTTATCTGATCTATCGTAAGAATGCTGAATTTGCTGAAAAAAAAGAACCTTCAGTAAATCAGTCGTCTATGAAATTATCACTAACAGCTAATGAACCTGGCCCAACAATTAGCAGTGAAGTTAGCCCTTTAAGTACCAGTATGCTTTTTCTGCTTTCTATTTTTCATATTATTAGAAGAGATCTTTCATCTCTTAATGATAATACAATTAAATACTGAACTCGACTATTTACTAAATTTTAACAGTCTAACCATTCTAAAGTGATGATCAATCGTTTTCAATTATTCGACCCTGTTGCTTGTTAATTTGTTTGAAACTTCCAGAAATAAGCTTCATGTTTTCATTCTGGTCTCATCGTTGCTATTGTGGGATGACGAGATTGGGTTTTGTATGAGTTTTGTGTTTCACAGAATCCCTTAAAAATAAAGATTCGTTTGGTTAATTAGATGTTCATAAAGATCGCAATCAATCTCTTTTGCCTTTTTCCAGCAATATATTGAAACATATACTTCTGAAAATAAATCACACGCTGATCAATTACGATTCGGATTATTATTATTTTTGATGGCTGCCATAAATGCTCAAATGAATGGAATTGTTCCTAGTGTTCAAAGTTACGCATCTTTGCCTTATTCTCAGGTTTTGTTTTATAAAAAATATTGAATCTAATAATGTTAAAACTGAATAACATCTCTGTATGTATGTTCTTTTTTCATTTATGGGATCTTTATTTTATTAGACTTTAGCAGTCTCTGAACCAACGCCTGCGTTTTCATGGAAAGTATATTTTTTGGGTACTTATATGCTTGCATTAGCAGTAGATACTATAGCAATTTTTAAAGAACGTTTGCTTGCTAGATTTTCATCGACTTTGTCTCTTAATTTGGCTTCCTCATATTATCTGCATATTTTTGTGCATATCGATGTTTTATTCACTTTATTCACTATTGATTTTACTCATATTTCATCCTAACCTTTTTTTTTCAGAAAACTTACCACCTTAGTTTAACATTATCGAATATCGCTTCACCGATTGTTTGTTTTTTACCTCTTTTTATGAAAATTACTCGCTCCTCTATATTGGTATCACTTACGATAGTTTCAACAATATTAACCGGAATGATTATTACTTTTGCAGCTATGAGTCCGACACCTATTTTGCAATTTTCTACATGGGGATCTGTTCTCATTGTATGTAACTTTTATAATTAAACTTCAATTTTCTCCCTTGTATTTATTTTGAGAATCTTTGTCTTGTAAATTTTATATCTGTTTATCGATTTATTCATGTATTTCACATTTTATTAAGGTTTCAGAATTTGAAAATTCAATTTTTAAATATTTTTTTCACATGCATATAGCAATGATTACCTATTAGAGAATTTTTTCATACTAATGTTCATTTAAATATCCCCTTTCAGTTAACATTTTTTAAGATAATTTTATCTTTACTTTTCATTCTACTATGTTACAATAAGGGATTAAAATACTGGAAAGAAGATTTTTTCAATGTTTGATAGGGCAGGGACAAAAACATACGAAGTGAGTTATATATTAGTAAGCAAAGATTAGGTGATAACAATGGTAAAAAAGTTAGTAAAAGTACCGATAAAAAGGAAAATAAACAGACATGTAATAAGAAAAAATATAAGTAAGTCTTAATTTATTCGTTTAAGATAATCATAGTGGTTTGTTCTGTAGCATTGAATTCATTCCTTCGAACAGTTCTAGCAACTGTATTGGGTGATGATGCAACTGATAATGAAACACGGCTTTTTTGGGGCGGAGTATTTATACAGGTTGGTATTTTCGAAGAAAATTTTAAACTCAAGAAATTTAATGTTACGGAAAATTTAGCATCTCCGTGAGTTTTTGCAAATTTTGTAATGTGTATAAATCTTTTGTTAAATATGCTTCCCAGATTTATTGATTGTGAAGAATAAGAATAAATATTTATTCAACTCTCCTATGCTTTCATACTTCTGTTGCTATTTCTAGCTGTATAGTTCTCACTCTTCACTCTGCTCCCGGTTCTTGACAATAAATTCATAACATAGCAACGGAAGTATGAAAGCATAGGAGAGTTGAATAGAGAAAAATTTTTAAAAACATTTTGATTTATACTTTTTCACCTTCATTTCACTTATTGATTTATATTTTTTTACCTTCATTTCACTTATCCATTTTTTTTATTGCCTTAAGTTTCATTTTTTCAGATCGGATCATTTTTGGGCTCCATTGCAATGTTTCCACTAGTCAATACATTTCATTTGTTTGTGCCTGCACCGCCATGTCCATAATAGATGTTTTGTCTGTCAGATTTTTTTGTTCTGTCCCGTGTTTTCAAAGACTCACCTGTATCAACAATAATTAAGCTATTATTTTGGAAGTTGTTCTTGGTTTCAAATTGATTCGTTGCAAATTTTTACTTTTTTGTAAATTAATAATTTACTAAACAGTTTTAATCCACTTTCCGTCAGTGTCTTCTTAACATTTTAATTAATGGATTTGAGTGCAAAATATGATTTGAAAAGTGAAAAAACTTTTGATGAGTACTTTTTATTTGTTCTGACTTAGTTAACACAGCGGATCAAAGGATTATCGTCAAAAGAAATGGTGAGAAAATCAAGTCATGTCTACTGCAACGGTCGAAAACTGTTTGTTGATTCTTAAATATTTATGATCTTGTAATTCACGCAGTATTAACGGATCTTTCATGTTATTTTGGAATATTTTCCACTTTATTAGTATGTTTTTGCAAAATTCGCACTATTCATTCCAAAATTTCCTTTCCACTTCATTCTTGTCTTTAATTTATGTTCTTTCTGTTTACAAACAATTTTCTGGATAGGAATCTAAAATTCATATAAATAAGCTTTGCTGTAATATTGTTAACTGTTTATCTATATTACAGATGTTTTGCCTTTCGTTTGATTATTGAAAAACAAAATTTAATGAAATTGTTTTACACATATAAATCAATTAAAAATGTGTCATGTGAAGATAAGATAATGGAAAAGTAAGAATGATAAAGCATGCGAAAATGAAAAAAGCACAAAACTGGTTAAATTAGCAAAAACTTGCAATTGTAAGACTTTAAACATATTAATTATGCAATATTATTAACTACAATAAAACAAATAACCATATGTGCTGATAGCTTATAACAATTACAGAACTAATGAATGCAATTACTGCCTGTAACTTTTTCATAAACAATAAAACAACATGGACAGTGGAAATAGCTCTAAGCTAAGCAGAAACACGTGTCGATGATAGCATATTAAAACATTTGAAATAATGTCTGAAAAGTCTGAAAAATCAAATTATAAATATAACAAAAGAAAAACGTAGCACGCTTCAGATGATAAAAATAAGCGCAACCGATTAAAATTGTTAATGCCAACCATCAAAATTGTCAACGATAGAGTGAAATACTGCAAAAAAATACAATGAGCAAGAAGAAATGGAGAAATTAACGACAACAACAATAACACAATAACAATAAACAGGTAAATGACAGATTTATTCCTTTTTGATTATTTCTTTTTCTTTTTTGTCTTTTTTTGCTTTTTTTTAATTTTCTCCTTTTTGATTTTTTGATTCTTATAATACATTTTTTTAACTTTTTTTTATCACTTCTTAAACTCATTCCTAAATTTTCTGTCTTGATTTACTATTGAATGGAATGCTTTTGAGCAAAATGCAATCACTTTTCTTTTCTGCTAATAAGTACAAAAACTAAAACATTTAAACTATTTGCTACTACTACAGTCTATTTGAATTATTTTAAATTTCTTCCTTTAACTGTTGCGAATTGTTATTTACCTGCAATTGCTAATAGGTAATCTAAGCCGCAACTAATTTTTTACTCAGAGATTTAATGCTACAACTTAAATTCGCACTCATTAATTTGAATAAATTTCCATTCTCATATATTTTCTTTACCTTGTTTTATTACTCCTGTTCTACTTTCCATTTCTATTTCCCTTTCATTATTTAACATCCATTGCAGATTCTTTACTAATTTGATTTTTTTTTGCTTTTTACTATCATATTTAACATTTCGAGTCTTTTTGCTAACTCTATTTTGCATTTCTTTTTCTGGACAAAATAATAAAAAGGTAACGAATAATGAATGAGCAGTACAGGTAAATAATATAAAAGAAAGAGATTTGTAAGAAAAAAAAAAACAGATTTCTTATAACAGTTATTTAAAATCTTAGAAATTACGGAAGAATTGAGGAATCTGGAACGCAAGTTTTCATAATGGGTAATTTGGTAATACAGAGTTGCGATTTCGAGTCCCGTACGTGGAATGTGCCTCTGTCGTCGGTTGCGTTTTTTTTTGCGTGCAGGTGCGTGTCTGTAGCGTGCGTTGTAATTTTTTTTATTTGATAAATTAATGAGAAAATAATTCATGCACAGAACATGTATTTTATATCTAAAATGATTGTTTTTTTGGAATTTGAAGAATTTTTCACATTGTGGAATATGTATCAGTTAAAGATTGAACAAAATAAAGAAATTATAATAATACAAAGGAAAAGGAAATAGTCAACACATAAAAAAGATGCTATGTTAATAGGGATCAGGAATTGTTGTTGGCAAAGAAAAAAGTAACATGTTGCGTTTTATTCAATATTATTTCTGCTTCTAACCAAGATGAAATAGAATTACTGATTTTCCATGAAATTATTTAACTGAAAAGGAAAAAACTTTTAGTTGATTGTCCATATATTCATTATATTATTTTCCACCTCTTTGATAGCATTGTATATGTATTTAAGCTGTTTTCTAACTTTATTCAGTTTGCTTTGACGGTATATTCCTTGCTCGCTTTTTTTGCCATATCGAAGGTCGTACAATCTTGCACGGTTTGATAGCGTCATTTGTGTCTATTTTTACTTTAGAGATTAAGTTTATTTTCGTTTCCTTCAGACTAGCAAAGCATCGATGAGTTCTCAACAGGATCCGACCAAAATTGTATTACCGCCAGCAATTCGTGTATCACCGCTTTTGCGGTTTATGCGTTATTCCTTTCTTGGTAACTTCATTGATTCACGAAAATCAATAGTTTCGAGTACATGTAGTGTATATGCTTTTGCAGTTGCAAATCTGGAGATTAGTTTTGTGGACATTGATTTAGACCTTTTGTTTCACAGCACGGCTAACAAATTGAAATCAGATGTGAATTTGAAAATAATTCAAGGATTGGGTGTTATTTGGGGATTTTTCCGTTATCGAATGATTTGCGAGAAGCATGCAGTTGTGCGGCAAAAAGAACATGAAAAGAAACTTGCAGAAGCAGAGAAAGAGCGCACACTGCGCAAACAGAAGGGAGATAAAAGCTTGTACGACATTTATTTGGTATGTTTCTCTGATTTTTACAAATGTTTAGACAATTATATTTTAATTATGTGAAGTGTTTCATGTCAAGGTCGATGTTAAATTTTACTGGTGATTTTCAAAAAACTCAAGGATATTGCCTACTGAAGAGAGTCTGAGATGTCCATGGTATCACATTGCGATAGATTAAGAGGCTTCCAGCTTAATTACTTTTCGTCTGTATATTAATATTTCAGAAGCACAAATGGAATTCATAATAAAAACTGTGGTTTTAATTTTTACATCTATTTACTGGTAAATAGTATATTGGAAGTTATATTGTTTAAAGCAGATGAAATTATAACTTCGACTTAAATCAACTGCTTGAACATGTTCAATTTGGAAGGAAATACTGTCATAGTCTTTGTATTTCTGCTTTTTTAGGTGTACAAATATGTTCTTACTCTTATTAATTTTTAGAACATCCTGGAAACCGATCTCGATGAAGGTGGTTCACTGTTTGGTAGTGTTCGGGAATAATGGAGAGGGATCTTTCACGAGATTTGTTTGCAGTCTGATAGATTATAGTCAAAGAAACGTAGGAATGCTAGATATGCCAAAATAGGGCCGCTGTTGATCTGGCATGTGCAGTCCACTTCTGTTTTGCACTGTTATTGTAATATATAAATAAATTTTGCGAACGTTGATACATATAAATTATGCAATCTCTAAAGATACAATTTCATAAAGGAAATCAGGATGAAATGTGTCTCATAGCTGCTTAAATCAGTTGTGTTAAATAATTTCAAAATATTCTGATCAAATATTGGATCAGTGTTACAAGGCTGGTAATTTTTAAAATCAGTATCGAAAAAAGTTTAGTAATGCGAAAGGCTGTTAATGAAGTCAGATGGGAAGGGATATTATCGTCTCGGTCTGATGTGCAACACGGAACGTATAATGATGGTACAGTCGGTGTCGTTGATTATACTATTCATGAGGCATGTTGTCGAAATTAATTTATAATACAAAATTATCAAGTTAAATTCATGAGAAATATTCCTCTGTAAAATATATAAATTTGTTTTAACAGTTAAAGGATATGTATGAATATATCATATTACCAGTAAACTTAATGAGAATTATAGTTATGTTTACAATATGTACTGTATACTCCAACAATTGAAACCTATTGATAATCTAACTCAATTTACTGCACGATTGTATTTCAATGTAATTCATTTGGCCAATGTGATCCATGGTAAATTTCCTTTGAACTAATTATGCTTATAATATTTCATATTATTTACCCCAAAATAGGAATACATTAGTCGGCATTGTCTTAAGAATATCATGTTTCTACGGAATACCAAAATTGTATTTCACTTTGATCTTTGACGTCCAAAATGGATACATAAGCCAACGTATTCAGTATTGTATCATCATTATTATCTTTGATACCATTGTCCACAGTCAACTTTAGCGTTATTGTCGCCAACTATCATACTCGATCCAATAAACTACATCAACTAGCAAGTTCCCTCAAAGTCAGCAATATCTGGAACAAAAAACGAGTTGTGGAATTATTAAAGTAATTATTCCCATTCTTAAGTGGTTTGTATTTAAGACCTCAGGAAGGCGAGATGGCCGAGTGGTCTAAGGCGCTGGTTTTAGGCACCAGTCTCTTCGGAGACGTGGGTTCGAATCCCACTCTCGTCATAAGAAAATGCGTTCGCGCAGGGCTTTCGAAATTTTTCATTGCTAAATTGCTGAATAATAATAATTTATAGCTTTGTCTTCCGAAGATTTTCTAAAAAAAAAATATTTTATATATGGTGAGAAAAAGTTTCTGTAAACTGAATACATCATGCGATGTCATTTTAAAATTTCGAGAAAGAAAGCTCACAGTTGTTTATTTTCATCAACAATATAATGCATTCTTACGAATTAATCTAGTGAATTTCAATACCGATATGTTTTGGCATTGAAAAAAAAAAAAAAACTAAACAATCTTCCGATTTTTCAGCACCTTAAATTGATATGCATCATTGCAATCATAATTACCGACGCGTGAAAACAGTAATTTACCAATATTAACAGATATTCCGAAAGTGCGAAAAAATTATACGTTGCAATGGTTAATAAGCAACTTGTTATACTACCGTTTGCAAAATAATGACAAAAGATAGCAAATTATGTTGTTATCATAACGTTAGAAAGGAAATCTTTTGCTCGTCGATATTATACACCAAACAGTATTATTTGGTCAATGTTAAAATGATAAATTCACAATAATTATTGAGAAAATATCACGAGAAAATTGGAATAAATGGATGATTTGATGTTGTTTTGCTCTCAGGTTACGATTGAATCAACCGCTGATAATTCAAGTAGTTATAATGATGATAATGTATATGCTAGCTTAAAACAAGTTAACTTAGTATTGTATCTAACTGGAATTAAAAAATATTATATTGTATTTCTGATAAAAATTACTGTAATTCTAATTAAAAAATGATAACTGTGCTCATTAACATAATCATTATTAGGCTTAATACATAAGAAACTATTAAATTTACCGAAATTATAGCACAGTATCAAATACATCACGAAGAATGTGAATAGTGCAGGTAGCGAAGTAATATAAATTAGTGTTGAATAAAATTTCAAGTTAAAACTCCAACCTTTCTGAAATACAGTGGGTAAGTTGAAGTTAAATTTTACTTCAAAAATGATAAATAAGCCTCAAATAGTTCTTAAAATCTAAAAAAATTCGGAGAGAAAAAGAAAAACAATGTTACGTTTATCTTAATTTTTCCTATAGAATATAATTATATAATTTTCTTTCATTAAAAGCAATTTTACATGAAAATATTCGGTGTAATTTACTCTTTCGATATATTGCTGTAATTACAGTGAAATATATCGTGCTGGAGATAGCAAATATCATGAAGAAATGAACATGCCAATCTATCAAATATACATGTCATCATGAAACATACAAATTATTGATTTTTTCTCATTTTAATGCCCCTTTAAAATAATACTTTGCATATAGAATTTTGGGTAAGAACTTTTTGTTTTAATAATTCGAAAATAAAAAAATACAAATTTTTAGCAATGCTTACTAAAGTGAGTACTATGTAATTCATGAGTTTCTTCATTTTCATCAATTACCGTTACCAAATCTCAACAAAATCATCAGAATTTCGATCGAATCAGAGAAAATGATTATTCGTGATAATATTGCACGTAATTTACAATTACGCACTTCATCTGATGGAATTCGACAAATTCTATTTGGAAACTAGTATTAAACTACGATTAAATTTCTTTTGTGAAGTATCACTGAGCGTAATAAATTTGATCAAATCAGCAGAGGAAGGTTAAGACAGTGAGATAAACTTTATGAATCTCATTCTTAATGAAAATCATTTCAATACCTGTCCAATGCTATACTCTATCATTAGGCTATCGAGCAAAAAAATTCTAAAAATGTTTCAAAACTAAGAACTATTTCTTAAACTCAATATCGTTTTCCAGTAATAAAAAATTGATTACAGATTGGATATGGAACATTAAATGTTCACGATATCTGCCACCAAATTACTCCAATTAATTCATTAGCCAAGTTTGTTGCATAAGAAAATGCTTCCCTTATGTTTGAATCCACTAAAATTGCAGTGGCAAAGAGACGGTTAAATCATGCATGAGCATGTCAACAATGGAAAACGAAAAAATTTCTCGAATATTAAACTTACAATTTCAAATCGTAATGGAAGATGAAATGGTACTGCAGAATTCCAAATAATTCATTCCTTTGATAAATTGATAATTCGTGAAAATGATGGCGCATTAACGGGCTATTAAAGAATAAAGAAATAAAAATCATTACCAATTATTGAAAAACAGATGAAAAAATAAGTGAAGTTTGTTGAAATACAAAATTTTAAATAGAAACGAATAAATTATTCCATTAAATGAAATGGATATGCATACACGTAAAATATAGCAGTAGTCTGAATTAAGATTTTCTTTGAAAGTTTTGTTTTAGATTAAATGAAAAGAAGAAAAAAGCGAAGCAATATGTAAATTCAAATTAAGATTTTACAATTATCTCTTGAATCTATTAATTATTTTCTCTTTTCATATAAATCTTCCAGCAGTAAATCAAAAGAATATCAAAAAAAGAAAAACAATAAAAGAATGGAAAAATTAAAATAAACTTACTTCACATGTCCAATCATAATCTAAAATTTGTTGATCATCCAACGAAAAACCAAGCAAAAATGTAATTATAAGATCAGTGGTTATAAGAGCGTAATTATGAAATGAAATTTCAAGTAAAATTATACACTCCTCCCTGTTTACGATAGAATTGTCGTTTTGATGATATGAAACAGAGATTTCTTCATTCATTACCAATTCATCAATTTTCTTCTCTCTCGCATTGGTTCCACCATTATTATTTCGAATAATTGTTGTAAAATGCATTTCTTTCCTCCATACAATAGCACAAAAATATAAAAAGTTTGAGATAATCAATATGTCTGATCATCGCTCATTTTTCATCAGTAGCATGCCTTTTTGTCAGTTACTCATTGATTTCATTATCTCAAACGACTGTTATAAATATATGTATTGTGATTGGTTCAGTATGATTTTGTGATTTGTCAAATTCCAGTATTTGATAATATTCTAAAATAATTAAGGACAAGTTAAAAAATTTCCATCCACTTTCGGATATTCTCTCCTTTTATAAAATTCGGTTAGGAGATATTTTCTTCCGAATATCTCACGATAATTTTAGGTTTCTTGTATCTAAAATTGGAGGACTTTGGACTGATGTTTTAGTAAAAAAAAATTTTGTTTAATTAGCTCCACAGATTTTAAAACGTCGTGAGAATTTTTGTGAATCCGAATTTAC